CAAATTCTAACTTTGTCTGTGGAAGTGTTCAAATGGGAAGTTAAATCTACATTTTAAATCAGAATCATTGTGTGCTTTTAGACAATAGTAAGTATTACAGCAGAGTATGACGCTGAACTGTATTCAAAAAGATCAATGTAATCAGAATGTATTTTCTGTTTTAGGAATGTCTTTATATGATCTCACGAGCATGGATGCACTTGTGGCCTGATTCACAAGTTGTTTTCTGGCAGGTTTGGATTAACTGTTGACACAACAACCAATCAGCATACTGACATGCAATGTCAGCTGCTTTAATACCGGCTTCAATATCTGGTTTGGATTCTTAGATATCTATACTATGTTCCTCTTTGTATTTTTGAGCTAAGCCTTTTAAGGCAATCTCAATGAGTTCACATAACCCTGGATAATTTTTAGTTTTAGCAGTGCCATGGCAGTGTATCCTACCTCTACCTTGGTATTCGTACCTAAATCAATGCCATTTTGCCAAGAGTATCCATACAACCAGTGTTTAATAAGCTGTCTAATCTTTGAGTAAAGAACCAGTCAACAAGATGCGGATTACTAGCCGACATTTTGTCGTTTGGCCTCACTGCTGTTGTCACTGTTCTCTCCAAACAAGGAGTGAAGTTCAGGCCAATGCATGTCAGCTGATGAAAATGTAAAGAACAGTGTTGGTGTTCCAACATTTGTTATTATTGCCTTAAGGTCTTCTTTTACCCTATGCCAATAAGCATTTGAACCAGCAATGTTAGCAACATACCTAGACACCTTAGAAATGAAGGCAGCAGAATTGTCACTTGCTGCCATTTCACGCAACTCATCAATAGTAAGATGTGCTTCGCCTGGATTCTGTTTCAGAAATATCCCAGTTTGTTGCAAAGTTCTCATTTTCTGAATCATATTAAATGCCCAGTAGCAAAATCTGGGATGACTAGAAAATCGATATAGCCACTTACCATAATTTTTTCCCGCAAATTTCATAAGTTGCTTGATTCGCTCAGAAAGACGAACATTTCTTTGGAGTGCTTGATTTGTTGGGTCTCCCTTTCCACCAGGGAATAGTGTAGGAATTGCCATGGTTGCAAGATATTGGGTTTGGTATTCATTTAATGGCTGATCTTAAATTGTGGGCCAAGACATTGGTTCTTCAGCAGAGAGCTGATTTCTTACAGCATCTAGTTCTTGTTGATGTTGTTCACCAATGGGTAAAAAACAACTTGTTTCAGTAGAATCGCTATATACAGTATCTTCAGATGAATTATCAGTAGGTGGACCTACATAATTTCCAACAGTTTCAGGAGTGACAACGTCATCATTTATCTCCACAGTCAAAAGATTTGATGGTGTTCCATCAACAGGCAATTCATTTAGTGCCTGAGTATCAATTTTTATAATGTACATTTTTATAATGAGGATTATGTTGCTTAAGCCACAATAAAGAATCAAGAACTTTTTGCCTTCTGACATTAACATCTTTGAAGGTATTTTCTTTACCCTTAATCTTAACAATGATCACAGACAGATCTTTTGGATATCGTGGCAATGAAGATGCAAGTTCATCAACATGTTGGGGCAGATTTTCACAATGCCCAGAATAACCTCGTTGGCCACCAGGTTTAATATAAACTCTCATTATAGGTAGTGCACCAGCAACTAACATCTCTTCTACCTGAGTCAAACCTTGCAACTCAGGAGGAATTGGAGAAGGGATCATAGAATTTTCTTTTGAAAACTTTTTTGGGATTTTTTTGTCCCTATCACATCATGAGCATATGTAAGTGTCTGGTGACCTAGGTTTTGATTTCAATGGCCATACCTCATGACAAACAGTACACTGAAAAACTGAAAAGCATGCATGCATTTTATTAGAATACTCAGATCTCAGTATCATATCTGCAGTCAGTGGTACCCGTAAGGCTCATGTATCCATCTATGTTTATATACCATATAACGGCATAACTCATAAGGACTTATTTTAAAACAGTATCATACCTTTTTCACTTTAATTCTTGTCCGTTGCCCGTTGGACCAAGATCCAAGCACGCGATGGACCGATTTCCGTGACTGCTCAACACGGTGACTGACTACACTATCGCCACAAATTAGTAAATGTGCCCCATTGACCTTATGATTCGTTAAGGTATGAATTATGGTCGTGTCATATCCACGTAATTGCGCCAACGTCGTTTGGTCACGATACTCAAGCTTGGTCGTTTCGTATACTCATATCGATAGCATCGAATTTCCGTTTTCCAAGTTTTATATACTCTTGCTAATAGTTTATGAAAAGGTTCTGTCCTGATTTATAGTAAAAAGGACAAACATTACACAAATATAAACGTTTATTCATATGAAAAAAGCGTCAGGATAATTAATGACTAACAGTAACAATGGGCTTAGCAATCGATGGGCATCCTATCCGCCAAATTTCTCAAACAGACGAAGCTTGATGAAAACCTGTCTTGGAATGTGAACGGGTCGAACAAAGAACTCACTACCCAAAGAATTCCACGTTTCGTTGCAAGTTTGTTGGTGGAAATGGACGTGAAGTAGAATTCATTGGTTTCAGCGTCCCAACATATTCCCAGAATACGGTTGATCGGTAGCTGGTCTAAGTCTAGATCGAGCGTAGGGGATGCCCTTTCTCTGGCTGGAATTGCTTGTAGGATCTCTCTTCGATTGCTAAGGAATTTCGTGAGACGGAATCCACCTACCTGTAGTAGGGCTATCAACTTCCAGGCTAGATCAATGGCTTGTTCGACTGTCAGAGCTGTACAGATTTACCGTATTCCGTCTCGTTGTCATCTGCGGTCTGCTTCAGGGCCTTGTTAGCACAACAAGGTGATGACTTCGCACCAAAAATATGGACAAGCATTTTATACTCTTCCGGAGGCTTATTGAGTTCACCGTCCGACCACAAGAATCGAAGAGCATCGCAATCTTCAGGGGTCACTCTCACCTGGTGAAACATAGCCTCTATATCAGCGATAAGAGCAACCGGATCTTGTCTAAAACGTACCAGAATGCCAATTGCCAACCAGATTATTGATCAGGTCTGGACCTGGAAGGAGTTCATCATTTAGTTACGTTCCTGCAAAGGTTGATGCTGCATCAAATACGGCACGAACTTTTCCTGGCTTAGGAGGGTTCAGGACTGGGTGGTGCGGAAGATACCAGGGGCCGGTTGTATAAAAACGTCGTTAACTTTAACTATGATTAGCGTTAATCACTGTAGTTAAATCCTTAGCTATGATTAGTTAACTACACGACTTAATTGCGTTGCAAACGTAGTTTGTCGGATGATTAACTAATCACGTAGTTAACTTGCGTGGGGCGTTTTAAACACAAAATTACATAAAGTAAGCAGCGATTAACGACCGCCGACAAGCATTTTTAACATTATTGTGGACTCGCGTTTTGCAAATAGGCGGGAATTTTATTGAAAACAGTGAAAAATAAACTAGAAAACCAGGAAAAATGAACGAAGAAGGCCATTTTTACTTGAGATGTCTACGTTAAACCAAAGTGTGACTGTTTGGCAATTATATATAATGTTTCTTCGTGTAATGGGCCCTACATCGTCTTCGAGAAATCTTACCGTGCAAAAATATATTTTGTTTTCGCCGAAAAACCAAAGCGATAGCGTTTGAAGAGTTTATATTGTCAGAAAACATTCACAGGGAAGATAGCGATTGAAAATCCCAGGTAAGCATTACTTTTCATTGTTGTTTTACTGCAAAATGTTGTTCCCTCCTATACAAGCGCCATTTTTAACCACGTTTTGAGAAGTTAAAGATACCTTAAAGCATCGTTAACTTTAACTATGTTTTAACTACACTTAACGCTAACTACTTTTCTATACAACCGAGTTAACTACGTGATTAAAGTTAACCGCTATTTAACTACAAAATAGTGATTAAAAAAGTGATTAAGAGTTGTATACAACCGGCCCCAGGTCTTGTTGCTTCGCACTTTGGTCTCTTCAAGCGTAAGCTTGCAGGTCAACCCTTCTCAACATAGTCATCGATGATCGCCAAGTATTGTTTCTTTAAATCTTGATCTCGTTCAAGTCGACGCCTGAGATGTCGAAAGCGTATTTCTGCAACTGATCGGTTGTCAGGAAGTCGTAGATCACCATGCTTCCATAGCAGTCCCATTTGATAGTGACCATCAACCTTGCCAATCGTACCTTCTATGACTTTCTCAGCCCGTTTATCTTCCAAAGACTTTGGTTTGGAGTTGTAGCTCGCACTTCCAAATGATTCCAATTTCCAGAACAATTCGACTTGTTTATTCAGCGTGAAATCATCTGTTGCAGCACAAGTATTGTGAACGGCCGAGCGCTGTAATTTTGTACCATCCCCAATGCGGCCAAGAATTGAAAACCCAAGACAGATCGTATTGCTACCGGAGCTCGAGGGCCATTGTGCCGAACATCAAGTGGTATGAAAGCTTCTGGAACATTAGTCCCGATTATAATAGAGATCTTTTTCTGCTGAACGTCAGGAAATGGCACGTCCTGAAGATGGGACCATCGTGATTTGTTGCTTCGCATAAAGTGATGACGTAATGGTATCTTCAAATCTCTGCCACACCAAGCACTACTCAGCTCCAAGCGCTGTGGTTCATTGTCGATGAGGGATTCAACTGAAAAATTGACCCGATAACCATGTTGAATATCATTGTCATTGCTCACTGTTGATCAGTGAACTCTAATAAGACTGGAACGATAACTCGGCCGCCATCTTTGAAGCCAAATTGAAGGCCGCCATTGGAGGTACGGCGGCGAAAATACACCTCTTCGGAAAACTCGAATTTCTTGCACAAATCATGTTTGGAAGCCGTAGAAAAGACTTAACGTTATTTTTTGTGTACCTGAAAGTCGTATTTTGTTCGGCACGGAAAATATTTTGTTATTTTCTTGAATACAAAAATGGTTCCTTTCGAGATTTTACTGTTAGTGGATGTAGAATACTTAGAACTATCCAGAAAACCAATTTTGAATCTTTGAAATTGAAATCTTCGGACGAAAAACCTAATTTTTCGGCGTATTTTTGCTAAAAAAACAAAAATACGAGGAAATTTAACTCTCTCCAGTTCTTTTTTGAAAGTCACAGCGCGCGAACTTCTCTCGGGCGCCAAATCACATATCGCAAATCACGGAGGTTTCTACGGAAAAATCGTGTGATGTAACGTGTGATGTAACGCGCCACATCCTTCAATTCTGCACTTGAATTTGCTCGGGCAACACTTGGCAATATGATATTTGTGGTGTTACTCTGAGTGTATATCCACACCGGGCGAGCTTGAAAAATATGCCCGGCCACGGTGGGATTCGAACCTACGACCTATGGAATACTAGTATTCCAAAGGTCGTAGGTTCGAATCCCACCGTGGCCGGGCATATTTTTCAAGCTCGCCCGGTGTGGATATACACTCAGAGTAACACCACAAATCTCATATTCACCTGAGTACACTACACCAACACAGAAAAAAACTTGGCAATATGTTTAACTGCGATACCAGATTGTAGAACTGGACTGTTCTTTAGATAGTTATAACAGAGACCTTTAACTTTTACAAACTCGTTCCTCTGGGCATGTGTTTTCACTTCTGTAGAATTTTTAGTGAAAATAAAAAGTACTGAAAGTTGAAGACATTCATCTTAACGAGTTAGCATGAAATGTAAGTAGAGTCTGATTAATTTGAATACCATCACATAGTTATGTTTGATAGAAAAACATGGATAGTTTTCCTGGCATTACACTAAGGCGAACAGATTTTAATATATTGACTGGTGCAAGACCTCTCACAATGAAATATCAATTTTAATTTAAACAATAACATATGAATAGATATCAGAATCTTAGGAAGGTTGCTGCTGATTTAAGCAAGTAGTTAAATTTTCAATAGGCATGCATTAATGGCTGCCAATTAATCTGGCGTATACAGTTGGTACTTGGCATATACAAATATATTAAACAATAAACATGGATAAGTCTAATTCAAATATAAAACTTTTATAAATAATTATATTTATATCAGCTTTCTAATTCCATTTATATTGTCGCGGCAAATTCAAATTTTAAACCGAAACCACATGCTCGAATTTCACAAATGAAGATTGGAGGTATTTCCTTTATAATTTGCTTTATTATAAGCAAAATATAAACTTATTCTCACCTGAACATTATGCAAATATTGCTGATGTATTACTAGTGAAAATCCAGTTGAATCTGATCATAAAAATAGTTATATTTGAACATAAACATTCACAAACTCAAACATATAAAAAACTTGAAAAAATATCGGAGGTGTGATGATCTATCTCTTGATGCTTTGCGCGCGTGGCAAGAAAACTACAGGGTGTATCAAAATAAACGCAATTCATCTTTTGTGCTTAATAACTTTCGAAATACTATTTCTAGTTAAACGCTTTTAGGCTTACTTCAAAGCCTGTTCTTTTCTCTTTCAAACAAACTATTATCCTTGTCTCCAATGCTAGTAATAATTGCACAGGAAAAGATTTAGTAAAACCTATCATTTTTAGTTGCTGTTTAATTATGCAAGTTTACTATGTTATTGTTTAGTCGGTTTAAATGTTAGAATTTTCTTCTTTAAACTTTAATGTTGTCGTCACTACATCTGGAAAACCACGTAAGAACAAATTAAAAGTATTTTAAAAGAGACCAGGTTGTTTGAAAATCCTAAACGAATGCTAAAAATCATAGAATCAAAACATTCTGGTGTCTGAGCCAGAGTGTCATCGAATTACGATGTAATGTAAACAGAAATTATAGCAAGCTGATGTCAGTCAGCTTAGATGGTCCAAGCCAAAATTATATCGCATTTGAAGTTTCAAACTGTGTTAAAAATAGTGGAAGAAAAGCCGTAATTATACTTATTGTTACAATCCATTTATTAAAATGCAACATTTTTTGTTTTAATGAAAAAATCAGTTATTTTCATGAGAACGATTTGTTATTCCATCTCAATTTTTTTAATCTCCAATCGCAATAACGTAAAGTATTATTACCCGCGAACCAATGAGTCAAATTTAAGAAACAACCCACTGTTAGAAAGCTGAATGGCTACGCTTTAAAATGAATGTAAACTTTAACGTTTTCGTCTATTATTTGTTTAGCAATTTACATTTCAGTCGAGGATTGCGCTTTTTTTGATACACCCTGTAGACACCAGTCTGTCAGTCACGCACATTGTGGTAATTATTCATTTAATCTTAGAAAATAAATAGTCCCAGTATCAAATTCTCTTATTAATAATTCTCTATGAATAAAATGCGATATAGGAATTATTATAGTGTAATTGTATAAGAAATTAAAATTCCTATAAGAATTCCTATAGGATTTGAAAATGGTGAAAAAATTCCTATAAGAAATAGAAATTCCTATAGGAAGAATGAGTTATGAGTTATTTCATAAATTATATTTTCTCTGTATTTTGATATAAGTAAAGTTCTTATACCCATGCATGTATCAGGCCATATTGGTATAGGTAATATTTTTTCCACCATTATCCGTAAGAATTCCTATAAGAATTTTTATTTCCTATAGGAATTTTTTTCACCATTTTCAAATCTTATATGAATTCCTATAGGAATTAAATCCTATAGGAATTTGTATAGGAATTTTCATTTCCTATAGGAATTCCTATAGCCATTTTCTATAGGAATTTCTATAGGAAATTTTTGTAAGGGCATGTTAAAATTAATACAGTATAAACATGTAATTTTATTACAAATATTATATTTATTTTGCACATGATTGGTGAATTATATGATTATTAATTACGTCATGAATAAATATTTTAATAATAATTATTATAATTTATGTTCATCAGTGTAATATAATTTTATCTGTTTATAATAAATATTGTTCATTTATAATTTAATTAATAATGCCAAAAAATATTATATAATACTTTTCATACTCTTTCATCAATGGGGGTTGTAACCCGGCGTGCCATGTCCCATTGCCAACTAATTTCTCCTGGGGAATTAAAATACTTCTTCAAGTTGTCACGAGTTGTTTTGCATTTTTTGAGTAGTTGTTTGAACCAACCCTTGAAATTAAATATAGAGAAATATTTGGGGATGTGTTATTTCTCCACTGACCAGCCTTAACACCATTTACAATTTCTTGATCAACCTATTTAAATGGACAATAACTACAGTATGGCTGTTATCTGGTAATCTGTTCCGCATTAAGAAATTGTGCAGTCCAACTACAGCTTTTGTAATTTGTATAACAGTGTCAACTCTAGCAATGATTGCCTTTCTCAGAACTCGAAATCTTGAGACTGCAATACCAAATGTATTTTCTTTTATCCTTCTACCTCGAGAGAGTCAACAGTTGAAAATGTTTTGGTCTTCTGGTATATTCTGACCGGGGTAAGGCTTCATTAGGTAGGTTTTCAATCCAAATGCATCATCTGCCAAAATTACGTAGGGAAATATCTTATCTGAATTTCCAATCTTCTCTGGGTTTGGAATATTTTAGAGGTTATTGTCAATAGCATTTATACCCAAGATGGCTGTTTGTGTAAACGGTCCCGTCACTTTGCCGTCCTGCATCATCAACAAAATCCACAAGCAGAAACTCGTAGTCAGCATTACATACTGCTATCAAGACTATACTATGCATTTTCTTGTAATTGAAAAATCTGACCCTCCACGAGCTGGGGCTGCTATGACAATATGTTCTCCATCTATAGCCCCAAGAGCATGAGGAAAATTCCACTTTTCTCCAAAAGTCTTAACAATTTTCTGCACAATTAGGGATACATGACTTGGCAAGTTTCTTTTATTTAATGACCCAACTTGTTGATTTTTGCTCCACTTTCTTGACAAACACAATATTAAACACAAATTTTTATTTTTGTGGGAGAGGGGTTCTGGGTTGTGAAGAGTCCATTTGTGTATCAGTTTGCTGCCACAAGCATCATCCCTACTCATATGTCACACTTTATTAGCTGCACTGATTTTGAACTGGCTGCTTGTAATCTGACCAAGATTCACTTGGACAGTCCTAACTGACCAACTGGAGCACGAAACCCCAGTATGGACAGTCCTTTACCCTGACCAATCGGAGCGCAAAACCCTTATGGACAGTTCTTAATCTGACCAAAGGCACTAAAC